GGAAAGCGCGAAAACGGCGAAAAAGGGCTCTAATATAGGGGGGAAATTAGCAGGTGGGCGGGGCTTTCCCCAATGCGATTTCAAGCTCCCAGCTCCCGGAGCGATTATCTCGATTCCGCTAGCCGTTCTAACATCCCTACCGGCCAAGTGCGAATGATTGACTCGAAACCGGAAGCGAGAAGGTTGCTCTGGAAGCCGGGAACGTGAATTCGCAGTGGGGAGAACCCCGCCCACCTGCTCATTTCCCTCCTGTGTTAGAGCCGTTTTTCGCCATTTTTGTGCTCTACAATGTGCATTTTCGGATTCAGCGTAGCGAATAGGCCTCAGTAAGCACAAAATCTCAAAATCGAATTTTTGCCCGGACACTGCCTTTAAAGGTATCTCGTAATCATCTGCAATGTCAAGGGGGACTTCGTTTTCAAAATTCTCAAAGGCCACCTCCTGCTGGGCCCTGATTGCAATTATTACCAAATAAAACATTATTTTGTATATGGGCTTCATACAGTGAGATTACGGTAAGGTTCATACACAAAATCGTGACGAAGGATTTAGCTGCGGTCTTTGCGCCCACAGGAGCATAAATCCTCATACAAATAGGCGTCACCCCCAACGCTCAGCTCAGTCACTTCCAGTGTTCAAGTACTATCATTCCTAAGCAGAAAAACCAGTCGGGTAAAGATTAAAACCAAGAAAATGCGATTGCCGGAAGGTACGTGCGTGTCGCGCGCGGTCGCACATCGTCACTATTTTTCGAATGCCCCATACTCATACGATCACACTTTAATGTCTTAGAAATCCTCATTAAACAACTTACTTTGAAACTGCCTCGTGCGTTCATTACGAGAAAGCATAATACTTTTTTGCTTCTTCGGAACGGTAGGGTAAGTGTTACGACACATGGTAGAACATTTCGTAAAAATCTGCGACAGAGTGAAATGTATCTAACGGATCAATGGATCAGTAACAACGCCGAACCACCACATTCGCACGCCGCATGCTAAAGTTGCAAAAGGAATCCAGTCTTTCAAGGCAAAAGCCGCAGGAAATCAGCCGCACAGATATCGATATTGGATAATTTCTTCCCTTAGCATGTGCATGCGAATTTTCTACAGATTTGGCATTGATGACAGAGACTTGAGTTGATTTGTACACTAGCTTTCAATCTCTGAGTGTCACGGTGGAGCAGCTCGGATCGAGGCGCCTTCGGACCACTCTACGCGCTGGCGAACGTGTCTCGAGGCATTTCCGAAGCCATTGGCCCAAAGGTACGGTATTTTCCACGCCTCAATCGTGGGAAAATAGATACCGTGTCTGCTGAGGACGAACGCGGCGAGATACCCAAGCGAGGAGCCTCGCGAGCACGTCGACCGTGACACTCAGACTGAAGGCCTCGGTATGCTTCCCCACAGACTAATTACATCTATCGTAACTTTACGTAGTATTTTGATAGTGAATGAATCGACTGTAGTTTGACCGATACACGATCTTCGATCATACACCAGAACTTGGCGTGGTGTTCCTCGTAAAATGCATTGCTGAGTGTGATCCTGGACAAGCAGACTGTATCGTCATGAAAGAGTTGTTTCATCCTGCCGCACTGACTGCAGCAGACTGCAGCTGACTGCACTCACCGCAACAGCCGCACAATCGCTGCATCCTTTCGTAAAAGAGAAAATGGTTGCGAATACATCAAAATACCGTGATTTACGCCTAGAAAGTTTATAGGTTCTAATTTACTTTCCTCAATCAAATTTTGGCTATTGTATTTTCCACGTACTCTCTTCTTTAAACCTGGGCATGTTGTATCGGATATGTGTGATGTTCTTCTGCCAACCAGATTTGTGGCAGATCTTTACTGACCTTACGTTTCGACTAATATCGTCTTCTTCGGAGGTCTGAAAAGGAATTGCGGTGATATTATCTATCAGTCTATACGACCAAACGCCTCATATGACTTCCGTCCTCTGAACCTGTCTGGGCGCAACGTGCCGAGAAACAATTCAAAATGGATTCACCAACCTCTAATCTACCTTGAGACAGTAGTCCGCACGGATGTGACGGACATCACTGAGGTTGCTCAGTGAGTCGAGGACTATATATACTGTGCGGTTTAAGGTCACATAATGACATAAGAGGCAGAGATCAGTCGTTATCGTCACGCGCTCTTTGTTGTTCATGCCGGCGTAGATCAACGCGGCCGCTAGCATTTTGCGTGATATTGTATATTTCACGCTAAAATCGTCACCATCGTGTGCCTCAATCTTATGTTTGCCCAACGGTGATGACATATTTCCTCGTTTTTTGTTAGCCAGGTGTTCTTTCATTCTAACACTCAGAAATCTTCCAGTCTCTCCTATATACGCTGAGCCACACTTCAAGCATTCCCGCTGATAAACAATACTCTCCTTCGCGTAGTCACCTAATTTCCTGTAAGGGCAGACGATGCAGTTTTCTGACAAACATTCTAGTCGTACATTCTGTTTCTGATCAACCGCTTTCTGATGTTACTGCTAGGAATGTTGACCAGTATCACCTCATTTTCCAACTGTGCTCGCACTATGCACCTGCTAACCGCTTTGTTGGAACTATCGGAGACAAATGGCATACAGAGAGAGATCTTGTTGTCACTGTTATTGCTTCGCGTAAGGCTGCAGTTTTCGAATCCTGTAGATGTTCGCAGTCGAGATCGCGCAATTGTGTAGCCATTACTGCGAGCAATTTTGGATGCCAACTGTCGCGACTCATACTTTTCGTCTTCACCCGTGCACATTTCTACAGCGGTTCTGTACATATTGTGAATAACGGAACGTTTTAGAGCCGCAGGATGTGCTGATGTAGCGTGGACGAGTATGTTCTTAGAGCTTTCCTTTCGGTACCATTTAATTCGAACAGTACCGTCAGACTTAGAAAGGGAAGCCATCCACTGTGCGGAGTCTCGCGTGTAAGCCTAATGTACTGCGACTGCTGATTTAGAATTCTAAAGCACTCATCCATTTCGGATTGTGTTGGCGTCGCAATGCAGCAGTCATCGATGTATTGGCAGTACATCAATGGCAAGCGCGCTAATACTGGCTCCTCAATCTTACTCATGTAACAAATCGCAAGAACTGGAGCGAGCCTCTGGCCCATCGCAAGTCCTCTGGTCTGAGAGTAGTAATTCCCCGACCACTCACATATGTTACATTTAAGCATTCTCTTATGAGGAGCAGTATGCACGCTTTGCTCAAGCCAAAAGTTACCATGGTGGAATGATGTTCATCCAGCATCTCCGACAGAGCTTTTAAAGCGTCATTGTTTTGAACATTGGTGTACAGTGACGTTACGTCAAAGGACTCGACAATACTACCAGGTTCAAAAAACTCATGCTCCGCAGCTGCTGTACAAATTGCTGAGTGTTGGACAAATGCGCAGGTACCTTGGCTAGGAGCAGGCTTACAGTCTTATTCAAAAACCGAGATATTCGATCAGTCGGTCCACTTACGCAGCTTATTATAGGGCGGATATGATTGTGGTGACATCGACTGTGATTCGCTCGCCGCTAACTTGTGTGTCTTGATCAAATGGTAGAAAACTGGACACCTTGGGTTATCCACTTTCAATCTGTTGATAAACTTTCTATCAAGACCGGCAGACTTTGCCACTTTCATCCAAGTACTATTCAGTTCTCTACATTGCGCTTTATACTCTCGTTCAGTAGGGTCGATAAATCGTAGTATCGGAGAGATGCAGCTTTGCAAATTCTCGATCCAACGATTGTGGCATAATTACAAATTCACGGCCTTTGTCACTTATGGAAATTCGGATCGCCTTTTCTTCTACTAACTCACGTATTTCTTTAACCGTGACATTGCTCTCGCGTCAAATTGGTTTGCTGTATTCGCTTGAATCGATTCAAAACGTGCAGAATTTCGGTGGTAAGAATATGGAATTTCGCGTCGACAATTGGCACTGGCTCGGACTCAATGAACAAATATCAAATATTGATTTTTGAAAATTTCTCGAACGAATGAATTCCGAACAGTTGAATTTCAAAAATTTTCGAATGAACGAATATTATTCGATTTGCGATTTGCATATTACTCAAATACATTAATTCGAAGTTGGGCACATTCCAAAATTCGAACTTTCAAATATGCGAAATATTCCGCTATTCGAACAAACGAATAATATCATCGAATATTCGAATGCAATATTCGAAAAGAAGTATTCCAATAACTTGCCCCAAGACTTCTCAATTATTCGGATGTCCGAACAACTGTTTTTCAATTCCTCGAATATTCGAATATTTGGATAAGCCATTATTCCGAGTCGTCGTATGAACGAATTATTCGAATAAAGGCCTTTCATTCATTCGACTATTCGAAAAATCGAAACTTTTTCAAATATTCGACTATTCGAATATTCAAATAGCCGAATATTTCGAACCAAGTAATCGAATACGAAAATTCGGTTCCATTTTCCGTATAGAGGTCTTTTCTTTCAGTTCTCTCAAAGTAGATTCTATATAGCCATGTAAAAGGTTCGATCTTTTTGCCAGTTATCTTAAGGAACTGTGCAAAAAGATGTCGAATTTTCCTATATGGGTTTATAGAATCCTGAGAGAACGGGAAACCAAAACAAAGGACCTCTATGCGAAAAAAAGTCAAAAAACACCGATTTGTTTATTTGGAGATTGAGTTCCATAGAAAAAAAAACTGTTCCTGATGTATCTATGTTACCACAACCAATCGCATAATGTAGGCGCGAAAAGAAATTCAAAAGAACGCTACGAATCTTTACGCCCCTTAGATATGTGTAGGAATACTTCGACACTACCTACTATTACGGAGAGTGCAAAACATGACAATTTCCTTATAAGCAATGAACTGATTTTGACAACTTATTCGTCAGAGGGTGTAATCAGACTTATGAATCATTTCTTTGGTTTACGACGCCAATATGTTTATAAAGTAGCAATGGATTTGCTATCAAATGACTATGTTTTCGTAGATGATCCACCTTCGCATGTAAGTGTAGCCGCGCTAGTACAAAGCCGTCTTCTTGCATACAAACGCTCTCAGAGTTGCGGCGCAATGATAGTCGTCCCATTGTTGATACAGGATACTTTCCCGCAAGTCGACATGAGGATCGCTGTACAGCTGAAATGAAACTAATACAGAGCCCTTCAAAAATGAAAAAACTTTTGAATTATAAAAAAAAGAGGGGATGTAGGTGCCGGCACGAAAGAATGCTGCAAAAGTTCAGTTCTGAGAGGTTTCTTACAAGTTTCTTTGGCCGCGCAGCATGAGTTAGAGCGCGCCTTCCTCCATTCAATGCTTTCCAGCTTCTGGTAAAAGGAGTGTGGGAGGAGGAGGGTTTTGAGAAACAAATCTCTGAGTTGTGAACTTTGAATACAAAACAAAGTAGACAGTAAACAGTAAACAAAATACATATTGGGTCGGTGCAAAAGTTCTGTCAGGTCTTTGAACTCACTCGCAAATCCCTTAGGCTAAAGATAGACAAACATTTCAGCATACTCGATGCAATTCTTCCTCCTCCAGCAGCAGTGGCGGTCCCAGGACTTCTGTCCGGGGAGGAGAGGGGACGGGGAGAGGGGGCAAAAAATTTTCGGATGAAGGTGTCAGCCATGCACTTTGCAAAATTTTTGGGGGCGCTTCTCGAAATTTTTGCGGGCCCATAACCCCTAAAATGTAGAAAAAGGGGGCGTAGCGGCAGCCACACCCCGAAAATATTTTAATAAAGCTAGTTCAAGTGTTTATAGCTTATTTCAATAATTTACAGTAACAAACAAGTCACTGGCACATTTTCATAACCATATAAGTAAATTTCAAAAAATCCGGTACCCATTCTGAGGGGCGGGGGGGGGGGTGAGGGGCTCAAGGCGAGGGGGGGGGGAGAGTTCCCCCGCCCTCCTTTCGGTCCGCCACTGTCGCTATGTTTCCTATGCAACGCTTTCAATGCCCGCTCAGATAATCACCGAGATTGTGATCTACCATTTCTAAATGTATGAAATTGCTGATTTTGATTTTTCGAGAATGTGTTGGTCAAACATCCGTATCCCATTATATGATAATATCAGAATAACTCCAGCTAAATTCATGTATGTTCTTGTATAACTAATGGTAAAAAAATCTGAAAACATTCAACTGAGATAATCCTGCCTTCCCTTGTAGACAGAAGAGCGTGATGCGAGTCTCGCTGATACTTTCGGAAGCGATTGTCTGGGAACAGCCTCTTTTGCTTGTTTATCTGAGTCCCACTGGTGCCTTTTATTCAACTAGACATCGGTCTGTAAGCGGCGCATAGGGCATTTTAATTAAGCAGGGAAACAGCCTTTTGTACTTTGGGACAGTCCTTATATTTGACGGTCCTTAGAAGACAGTTAGGGCAATTCAAGAATATGTTGTGAGAATGCTTGATTGCGTTTTTTGTGGGAGTGATAAGGTAGTTTTTTTCTTATAAATACAGTTCTCAAGCGGCACGTAGGCCATGACTTCGTTGCCGAAAATTTCGTTGTTGAAAAAAGATTGACTGATTATATTTGCCAAGACCTCGCTAAATATTGCGACGAAATAGCGCGAAAGAATTCAGTAATCATGGTTTTTGGGGTTGACGTCTCTTTTTGTAGTACAATTTTATATTCATAATTTGACAGAATCTAACTTAGAGACTTTTGACAAAGTTCTGAGACAACTGGTTTGTTGCTGTCAAAGTTGATTTTGAGAGAAAAGCTTCATTGTTTTTTTGCAGCAAAATCATTGTTATGATGTTCTTGTACTTCCGGGATTATGCCTATTCTGCTACTTTCCTGACGGTCTCTTATAATTTTGTTTGGAAAAACTGAATGAAGCAAATATTTTAAGAGGACAGTAGGGTGAAGTATCATTTGAAAGAGTCTCAGTGAAGAGTGGAGATTTGCAGAGAAAACCTATGATTGAAAAAAAATTTTCCCATAATCTTGCATGATTATGTCACGGCTTTCGAGAGATGCTGAAGGATCTGTGAAGTTTATCGCTTTTCGACTAGTTTTTCTTTTTCGAAATGTTTTCCATAAGATGTTTCTAAAAAAAGAGTAGGAAAGTTATGTAGAGATAGTTGTATAACAAACAAAACTAATATTGTATTTACTACGGCACGTAAGGTCGTGAGTAAAATGACATCAGTTGAACAAAAATTAGCCTGCAACTTACGGCCCCAAAGTGTACGTCAAAATTTGGTTCGGATCAAAAAGGTACTCTTCTACTTGGAGTATACGATGATAGTTGTACACAGACAGACGTAGAGATTTGAGTTTTTTATATAAGGTTAAGCAGCAGAAATGGGTTCTTTAGTCTTTAGTGTGTTTTTATAGTAAGTTTGCAACAATTCCATGTTTGCGGTTCTTAATCAGAATAATGAACTAGAGAACGCAGACAACGCCGGAAGAAAACGTACACAGGACGGGTTTAAAAATTCAGAGGACATACAAATATTAGATTGGCTTCGACATGCACATTTTGAGTTTGGAGTTACACTATTACGATACCAAGAAGAAATTGTTTAATTTAATAGGTGCGCCGATCAATGCGTTTGAATTGAACAGTATTGATGCGTTTCATATAACGCAGTTTGGAGTTATACAATATTACGATACCAAAAAGAAATTGTCGGCAGAGTAGTATTCTGAATTGGTGTACTTAGAGGGCAGATTTGGGAGCACCTCATCTTAACATATTCCTAAAGCGAAGTCCTCATACAGACATAGAACGGTTGCGACCGCAAAGTGCTTGGAGCGAATAGACAGCTTCAGCGGTCCAGATAAAGACGCCACTTCAGTCTCGTCCTTACTGAAGCAGGGGAGGGAACTTATCTATCCAAAACACTTGCCGTGGCGTAGTAGAGGTCATGAGTTGTCAGCAATACGTGAACTAGCTCTCATTAGCACCGTGTGCAGAGCCAGTCTGCGCATTCAATACCCTCGTCCTCATCCGGAGAACACAGAAATTGAATTCTAATGAATTTTCAAATTCAAAATTTAGTAGCGAAATATGTCCGATTGAAGTAAAAACTTCTAACTGAGGGATTTCAAGAACGCTGTTTCCGAAAATACTGATGTTTTCACTCAATACTTACACATTTATTCCCTTTTCGAAAAATAAATCTTTACGTCCTCATTGTAAATTTGAAAAGCTGATATTCAGTTATCGCGCCGTTTTTTTAACACATTCACGACAATACGACCCACCAGTGGGTCGTAGGATTCTTGAAGCTCTATCTTTGTCAGTTTATGATGGAATTCTACGAGGTTCTGGCACATGATTCGGGACACCTAGGCGAAGTTTCAGTAAGAGCGGTCCGGAATCGGGATAATGTAATGTAATGTTGCGTTAGGTACAAAGTAGATAGAGATAAAGCAAAAATTTTAGCTCAAAAATGAATGATGCCGTTTTTGAGAATTCATGTGTACATGCACGAGAGGAGAAATTTGTTACTAGCAAAAGACTTGTTAGCTCATCAAAAAATCTTCGATTTCTGATTTTATTGATTTTTTGCAATGGTCATCCCGGGAAGCTCAAATTTTACATATGTAGGTTTTTCAGTATGCTGATTACGAAAATGGTAGTCTCAAATCCTAGTACCGCCTTCTTATACCAGTTCCTTGAATTTTGCGAAAATTTTACCGTGTTGCTACCGTGACCATACTGGAACGGGTGTGAACAAAATGGGCACTATAAACGCAATCAGCACGTGAAATAACCTTAAAACACACTTCTTCATGAAAATCCATGTTGTTTGGTTCGTACTAAAACTACCTAACCTTACCATCTAACGCCAAAAATTGTAATAAATCATATTTTGATAATCAACGTCTTCGATAAGCCGTTTGGTGGCATTTGTGGAGGCATCTTTTGAATCTTTTCCAAAAACTACCAGACAATACGACCCACGGGTGGCTCGTAGGTTTTATAAAGCGGAAAAGGCTCTGGTCCGAAACGGCAGTAATCGAAAAATCGGCCTTGTCGTAGATGTGTCAAATTTGCAGTGAACTTGTAAGAAGGTTTATATTTCAAAAAAGGGAATAATACTGGAAGTTTTAAGCAAAACCATTAGCAGGTTCGGAAACAGCATGCTTTGAAACCCCTAAATACAAGTTTTTACTTCACTCGGACATATATCGCTGCTGAACTTTGAATTTGAAATTTCATTGAAATTTTCTCATGTGTTTCCAGATGAGAATGAGGGTGCTGAATGCACAGACCGGCTCTGCATACGGTGCTGACTAGGTGCTAATTAACGTTGCTGACAACTCATGACCTCTATAAGTACGCTGCGGCAAGTGCTTTGTTTAAATAAGTTCCGTTCCTTGAAGCAGGAAATCGTGCTAAAACACGGTTGCGAGACCGTCATTGGCTGCAGGAGGTGTCCCGCCAAGATTTCCTGCTTCGGTAAGGCTGAAAGTTGATTTTGGCGTATTCGTTTTGACTTCTGAAGCTGTTTACTCGCTCGAAAAGCAATATTTAGCAACTATACTATACGCGACTGGGCTATAGTCTGCATAAAGACTCCGCTCCAGTAACATGTCAAGGTTGAGGTGCTCCCAAATCTGCCTAGACACTACCTTCAAATGAGAAGATTACAGCCCTTTGGGTCAGTAATTCATCATGTCTTCTAACCGCAAAACTCTCTTGTATAGGTGAGTTTGACTTTTGCTTCTGACCGTTTCAATAAGCATAACTTGCCATAGCCAGCCTTTATTTGTATTTATTTAAGGAAGTCATACCATCGCGCAGGGGTACCCTGAATCGAGTGCACCGGTAGCCCAGCGTAGATAATCAACTTTTGTGCCATCAGTCCAGGTCCAGTTGCCGCTTTTACCTTCCTTCCATAGACCGATCCAAGTCAGGTCACGATATTCACTGTATGGCTTGCCCATTTTTGCCAGCTCTAAATCACAAATCGAATCACTTTGATAAGAGTATCAGTACTTTAGGTGATTCATCAATCAAATCAACATTTCTTTTTTTTGTGTTTTGTCTAGCTCTCTCCGGTGGGTGGAGGACTATGTCGCCGGATTTGGAAGAGTCCTGCGCGGATTCCCTGCAGGAGCACATGTCCGTGCATGTGCAAGTGTGCGTATTTGTCGCAAATGACCGCGGGGACCGCCCTTTTTCGGCGACATATAGTCCCCTACCCCTCTCCGGTTGTTTTGAGATGTGTCGGGTTGTATGAAGCACGCCTTCGAGCGTATCAAATAAAATAAAATAAAAACCGCAAGAACTGTCATTACTACGGGGCACTCGGGGCGGTGAAATGCTTGTCTCATATAAATTACACAAGTCGTCCCACATCGTTTTATTTGCGCGTCGCGGCCGCCGTATAAAGGCCAGTCCGTGCAGTCGAAGAAGCGAAGGCTGTTGTCGGAAGAAAGTGCAAAAGCAATATTGATTGAGCGGGACGAACGCGGCGCGCTATCTCAGCGCTATCTTCCTTAGTGTAAGCCCTGCGCCTCATGCGCCCCGCGGCTTATAAACCGCGTTTGCTCTCCTAGCTTTCGCGCCTTCGTCCGGCAGTAGTCTTTATATGTGTGTGAATACACAAAACAACTTTACCGGCTACAAACATATTTTCATCAGAGCTGTGTATCGAAGTTAAGTGTCCTCCAAGAGTGTTACAGATGTACTCGGCATCGTAAGCATTTGCATTATAGAAAGTCTGTGAAGAAGTTAGGTTTTGAAAGTTTTCGAGCACTTTTCAATTTTTGTGAAACACTTGCTGTTTTATGAAAACATTATTTCGTAAGTTTTTCATGGAAAACCTAAGCTATTCAACAGCGACATTGATCCTACTCCAAACTTTGGCCGTTCTGCACATAATCAAATGTTGCCAACAGAGAAAAACTGACAATCAAACTTCGTACTAATCATTTGGAGAATTCCCTCTTCCAGTACCGAAAGTGCAAACGAGTGCATCGCAAAACGCAATAAATCGAGAAACCGTCAAATTTAGCTTTGAGCCTAAATGCTTTGCGTTCGAGGCGAGAGTCGGTTCTGTTGAGACCGACAAAATTCCGACTAGATTCAAAAGATGCGGAAGACTTACCAAAACAAAGGCATAACTTGTAAACTCATTAACTGTGATCTCTTCTGCCAAAAAGATGATGATATAGAGTAGTTTTTGGAAACTGTGATTGTGCGGAAAATTACATTTCTACAATGGTAAAAATATCGCTGTCCAGTGATACATTTATAATAGGCTGGAGAAAAATTTTTGCTCAACTTTCTGTTTTAGATCTTGAAAATTTCAAAGGCTTTAGGAAGATCTCATTCACAGCATGAGGGCAGATCAAAAGGTCTTCGGTACCGTCGCCTTTGGAACTAAAAATCTGTTTCGTTCCCATTTTTGTAAATGAGTTAGCATTCTTATAGATGATGAGCGAGAGACCGGAGATGTGATAGTCAAGCATGGCATAGTCTGTGAATTATGGAGGGATGAGACAGACATCCCTACATACGTTTATTCAAATGGTTCAAATGTCATTGTGGCCATCTTGCAATCACCGACATATTAACAAATAAAATGTCTTCGAAAAAATTTTTGTTTTTAAGCTTTCTGCATTCGTTTCTAAAGGATGCACATAAGAAAGAAGCCAGGAAAATCCTTAAATTTGATTTTTTCATCACCTTTCGTTTTCACTTGTGGCACCGAAGTGTCTCATATAGGAAGCAGGGGTAAAATATTGGGTCATTCCAGAAATTCGTAGCATTTTCTTTACATCCTCACTTCTTTGAGGAGCGGTTGATATGTGGCAAGAAGCGCATGTCATTGGAGAGGGCTAATTATGCTTCTCAATATGTACCTATTGATTTGGATGGAAAGCTGATCTACTCGGATCTCTTGGCTTTCAAGGACGTAACTTTTAAAAGGCGAAAAAAAGCAATTTCGACACTGCGCATTTTTTCAAAAAGAAGCTTTTTTGCATAGCTTTTTGCCGATTATGGAACATGGCGTTCGCCAATGAATATGAGAGGGAGAAGATTTAGATCGCTTTAAAAGACTAAGGGTTAAGCAGTGTGTTCCTGAATAAGGACTTTTTGGGGGGAAGGGCGGGACGTCCTGCCCTGAAAATTGACGGACAAGAAGGAGACGGTCGACCATACCGTATACAAGCCAACTGCAACGTCTCTTAACAAGGTCATAATATCGCAGAAAAAGCCAAATAGACATATGCAGTGTTTTTCTGCATGACCAGCAAACGTTCAAAACTGTCCTGCAAGCCTTGACTAGGGGGTACTTTAGTACGTAACGTACTTCCCAAATCTTGCTCTACCAGATTATAATTTGTTCTGCTCTCTCGCAAATCTTATGAATGGTGCATGTTTCAAATTCAGTGACTAATTTGAGGGCTGGTTAGATGACTTTCTTGGAATCCAGCGCGTTGCCGTTTGGAAAATTAAGATTGAAGGCAGACATGTGACAAAAGGTCCGCCAGGTCTTGGTCATTAGTGCTTTGCAGCATCAGTCTGCTCTGTCGCATTCGAATTTTCCAGAAAACAAATAGAAAAAAGTGCGATTGAAATTATCCAATAACCTAATATGATAAGCAAGAAAAAATAATCAGGCAGCTCTATGTTAGCCTCTATGATACATTAATGCTAAAAAGGAAACCTGTTTAATCTTTTCGTCACAGAGAGAAACATGAGAAAATGTGCAGATGAGGAATGTATTACTGCATATTACATCACATAGGTGTGATAGTGTGAGAATTTGCTCCCTTCCCCCCTTCATCCCTGAACTGGGACCAAGGTGACCCCCTTCACCAAAAGCCGAGAAAAATATCAACAGTGAGGTAAGGCTAAGCAAAGGAGATATCTGTACGGGAATTGTTTGTATAACGGAAAGGAGAAGAAGATTTATCAGGATTCACGAGATTCCAGAAGGAAAAAAATAGTAGCTTCTGTAGATGCACAGCAACGTCAGCGAGGAAAGTTCCGTGGAACAACATTCCCCTCTGGTTTCAAGGAATAAATAGTTTGAGAATCCGTTTATAGAAGTACCTAGTGAATGGTGTGCCTAGTGATTTCTGGACACTTATGAGTTTTCAACATAAAAGTTCATAAATTTTGTAGATGAATAGCTGGTACACGGAAATAGTCATCATCGGAGCCGCCTCGTCCTCCGCTTTAGAAAATATATACTATGCCTGGGATCCGTTAAAAGTGCCGGGTGAAGGGTGGGTGAGACTTTTGTAATGGGAGTGCTCAAGCAGACGTCTTTTCACATTGGTAAAAAAGCCTCCACTTGAGCATTCCCATTATAAAAGTCTCACCCGGCCTTCACCCGGCACTTTTTTTGACGGTCCCCATGCAGAGTACATATTTTCTGAAAGCGGAGGACGAGACAGTTCCAATGGTTTAAGATAAAATCCCGGCGTACAAGATGTTCATCTACAAAAGTTATGGATTTTTGTTAAAAATTCGAAAATCTTTAAAAATCACTAGGCACATCCTTCACCCAGGCAGTTTTTTGAATGGATCTCAGACATGCTATATATTAGGTTGGCACGAAAGTCCTTGCGTAATTCAAACGAAATTCAATAACTTTTCAAAGACTAAACCAAAATTCACAATCTTGTATGCTAAAAATATTAGAAGTCTCACGCTCCATGATGGAAGTTCAAGCACAACATTCCATGAGCTAGCCATCGAGAAAGAAGCTCTCAAATATGGGGCTTCAATTTTTGCGATTTTGAGTTTGGTGGCAGAAAATCGCAGAGTGCCGCTAGCTAGCCGAAAAAAATTTGTAGAATCTACTTACACAGCAAAAGTCCATACGTTATTTCAGCAGGCTTTGATCTCGCATGGAAACGCGAAAACAAAAAATTTGTGAAATTTCTCATTTCGCAGGACAAATCCCCTTATCGCTCTAATTTTTCCACAGAAACGCAGTTTGCAACCAGAAATTAGACATAGTGCCTATTTAGAGCCTTGCGACGTTTTCTCGATCGTAAAAAAGTGTTTTCGACGGAAAACTGCAGACATGAGGGGATTTTTTCCGCAAAATGACATATTTCACGAAATTTTGTTTTTGCTTTGTCAGGATAAAGGCTAGCTACTCCTTTACCTGATGGTGTAGCGGGTTTACATAAGTCTTACTTTAATATTTATTATACAAGATATATACAGAAGGGGAAAGGGAAAGGGGAAGAGAGCACCGGCTCCTGCCGGCGGGCGGAGGTTACTGCCAGTATTAAGAAAAACAGCTTGGTGAGGAAGAACACGTAGTTAACAAAGTATTAGGCGGTACTGGATCACATTAGTAATTTACGAAATTATATATCCTACATAAATTAGGTAGACGATTTGTGAAATTTTGGGATGTGTAATGATAAGGCATTAACTAGAAGCAAGTGACACATAGTTAAACAGTATATAACGATATAACAGTATATTACGATTCTATTTACTTAACAAAGAGGAAGATATGCTTAATTAAGCACAACAAACTGTGTTTAATTCAACATAGTGGCAAATTTTGAGTGTTATAAAAACGGAGATTTTTTTTTCGCTGCCTAGTATGAAATTTTTTTTTCATTCTTTGAATTGCCGGTTCAAAGAGTTTTAATGTATACGGATAAACGCAGCGGTGCGGCAAATAAATGTAAACAAACTCACGTGGGTAACATTTTGCGAGGGCAAAAAAAATAGCAGTAATCAGCTTTTTGAGCTGAGTTGCGTTTAACAGCTTTGCCTTGTGGTTTTACAACCAATTTTAAGACTACAATGAAGAACATTACAAACATGTTGCCGTTCATCTTCTGATGTTTTCCCTTTTATTTATTTTTTATTTTTGAACTTAAGTTTGGAAAACATTAGCCGATGACCGACATTTACAAGATGGGAAACCGAATTGTACAGCTTGAGTTAAACACGACAATAGTGTTAGCATAGAAATACACTACCAGAACGCTTCCGCTGCAAAAATTACGATTGGTAACTTATGGTTATAAGTATGAGAACTTCAGCGGAAGTGATCTTAACATCATGTGTGTTAATTCACTACTAACATGCAATTGTGAAAGCTAACTATGTTTCTTCAACGTCCAAATTCAATACAGAAAATTCTATGGAATGACTGTTCCTGAATTTTGCTGAAATTTATAAAGGGTATATCACCATTATTTTCTCGGAGAAAAGATGAGGACTGATTGAAATAGAAACAATTTAAACAGTTACTTGAGACTTCAATCCGAAAATGTCTGGATTGAAACAAAGATATGCTTTATTTTGCGTGTTGTCAGCTTCGGCTGAACACCATTCGAAATAAAAATGTCAATGCTTCCGATTAGAATTTCAATCTGGGTATCTCAATATGTTCAGAAGCACTGAGAATTTTTTTTTTTTGACAGCAAATATTCTTTCCTGTGAGAAGGAGCTGTTATCTGAAAACAATCTCCAATCAGTTACAAAAAATATTCTCTGAAAATATTTTTATTTGCATTTCGAATGCGTTCAAAAACGTAATGCAGACTTAGTTTGTGCAATCGCATAACACTGGAGAAACTGCTATTTTCCATTGTTCTTACCAATATCATGTCTTTTATTTTGAATCAAAGTCATCAGCGCGGTTTTCAGCAATTTATATCGATACGTGTTTCACATCCATTTTGTAAGCTTCTCTGTTTGATGTATATTCCATTAACAGGACATTCTCAG